AAAAAAAAAAAAAAAAAAAAAAAAAAAAAAAAACCACCAACAACATGCATGCAGCCCTACTCCCCTGGGGGCCCCCTACATATTAAACTAATCTTAGGGGCCCCTGTATATTACAGTACCCATCGGGGCCCCCTGCATGTTACAGTACCCTGGGGGCCCCCCTGTATAATACAGTACCTAGGGGGGCCCCCTGCGTACTACATACAGTACCCCGGGGGCCCCCTGATACACTGCTGTACCCCTGGGGGCCCCCTATACATTCCTGTACCCCTGGGGCCCCCTGATACACTCCTGTACCCTTGGGGGCCCCCTGATACACTCATCTACCCCTGGGGGCCCTCCTGTGCATCGGCGCTGTGAGTGGCGGCAGAGCCGTGGGGTGGGGGGTGTTGCAGTTGGGGTGTATAGGCAGGTGGTGAGCTCTGCTAGCTGGGGTGGTTGTGGTGATGAGGAAGATATGTTCGTTGTATATTTTGTATTAAATATATTAATTATATTAATTTATTATATTATATTAATTAATATAATTAAATATATTAATAATATAATAAATATAATTAAATATATTAATTATGTTTATGTATGAATTGTGCTGGTGATGAGGATGTGTTACCTATACCAACATAGTTGACTCCATCAGCATAATATTAGTTATATTATATAAATATAATATAAATAATATAAATATAATATAAACTAAGTAATATAAATATAATATAAAATAAATAATATAAATATAAAATAAACTAAATAATATAAATATAATATAAAATAAATAATATAAATATAATATAAAATATATAATATAAATATAATATAAAATAAATAATATAAATATAATATAAATAAAATAAGTATAAAAGGGTTACTGGTGATGAGGATATGTTCGTTATACTAATCAGCATAATACACAAATATAATATTAATTATATAATGCAAAAACAAAACCAATTAAATAAAATAAATAAAATATAAATAAAATAAATACAATACAAATAAAATAAATATAAACTAAATAAAATAAATATAAAAGACCTACTGACGATGAGTATGTGTGTATGCAGTGCATGCGGCAGAATCCTAATAAAACTACACAAATAAAACATTAATAAAAAATACAAAAACAAAAACAAAACCAATAAAATAAAATAAATACAATATAAATAAAATAAATACAATACAAATAAAATAAATATAAACTAAATAAAATAAATATAAAAGACCTACTGACGATGAGTATGTGTGTATGCAGTGCATGCGGCAGCCCCTCATCGATACAAAAAATATCGTCAGCTAGGCGGTTCAGCATACGCCCAATTGGCTCTCTATCGAACCACTTGGGGGGGGCTCTACACAAAAAAAATAAATAAATAAATAAATAAATAAATAAATAAATAAATAAATAAATAGATAAATAAATTAATAAATAAATAAATTATTAATTGGTAATGGGAGAGAAGGAAGATGTATATACATGGACGGCAGCACATGCATATACAGCGCACGCAGAAACAGAAGCCATGCATGCATGCATGCACGCATGCATGGAGACAGATACATCAATGCACGCATGCATGCACGCATGCAGACAGATACATCCATGCATGCATGCATGCATGCATGCATGGAGACAGATGCATGCATGCATGCATGCATGCACGCGTACAGATAGATGCAACAGATGCATGCATGCATGCATGCATGCATGCATGCATGGAGACAGAAGCTATAGGGGTGCGAGATAGGGAGGAGAACAAAGTAAAGCAACAGAGACGTCCACACAAAAACAAAAAACAAAAAAAACGATGAAAACTACAGAGACAAAACAACAAAAAAAACAACAAAGAAGAAAGTACAGAGATAAAGAAAGAGAAAAAGATATAACAATAGGCGCAGACAAAGAGAGAGGGAGACAGATAGGCAAATGGACATACACACACACACACACAC